ACACACACACACACACACACACACACACACACACACACCGATAGAGAGAGAGAGAAAGATGTGTGTGTGAGAGAGAGAGAAAGACAGACAGACAGACAGACAGACAGACAGACAGACAGAGAAAGAGAGAAAGAGAGAAAGAGAGAAAGAGAGAGAGAAAAGTGGCGTAGATTTGAATAGATGAGAAAGAGCTCATAGTTCTTTTTTTAAAATGAATAAATAGCAAAAAAAAGGTTTCAACCAGCCACCAACCCTCCATTATTTTGTTCTTTCTTTTCCCAGACTTATTTTATTCAGTTACGTCATCGGCATGGGATAAAAAGGAGAGGAAGACTCAATGAGTGCGTGAGAGGTTTGAAGTGAGAAGGAAGAAACATTCGTTTCGGTAAAGGGGACGCTAATGGGTTCAAGGGCCGCTAACTCAACTAACTGGGAGACATATCTCTGGAACATCTGCGATAAAGTATCAGTTATTTCAGAGATCAAATAAGGAAACTCTCTTAGAGAGCCCCAAGGGACGCTGGAGGGTTCGTAAACCAGCAGCAGAAAATACACATACGTCGCTCTAAACGAATGTAAACTGAAGGCACCTTATGTCAAAAGCAGTCACGTAAAAGTACTTCCGACATTGAGATGTAAAGATCGAAAAGTGCAGACGGTAGTGTTACCCAAAACGAGTTATGTTCAGTTCTCTATCATGAGAGTATTGAACGGAATATCTTTTTCCACACAGAATAAGTAAAGAAAGCGGAAGATAATCTTTACTTAAGGAACGCTGTGAAAACGTTCGGCTTACTTACAAAGGTAAGATGTAATCACATTAGATATCTTGTGAAACGAGGCTAAACATGTGCATTCCTGAACCTTCTCGTGCACGACGCAAAGCTGAGAGGAACGTTCAAGTGTTCTGTAAGAAGTAAGCTAAGAGTCTTAACCAAGACACGTTTTTGTTGGGGTTTTTTTTTTTTGGGGGGGGGTTAAGATGTTTTCGGAGTTCAGAGTTAAGGGGGAGCATCATTCCTTGGTTTGGAGTTTTTCCCAGAAAAAAAGTGTTCAGCTCAGAGAGGAGCTTGGGCGAAGAGCGGGGGAAGGGATATAGGTAGGAGTGTCTCTGAAAAATCGCAATCGCATTGTTCAAGAGGATATTATTTATTGGTCAAATGAGACTTTTGAGCATTTCATCCCATGAGGGATTATAAGATATTCAAAATTTTAAAAACTCATTTCCGTTTTGTAACTGATGTGCTCGCGTACCTTTGTGTGTGTGTGTGTGTGTGTGTGTGTGTGTGTGTGTGT